TAAAATCTTTGAATCAACTAAGAGAAGAAAGGACAATTCGAACATGGTTTCAATATGTACAGTTGCAAGCTAGATGGAGAGAAGACCAGAAAATTGGTTTTCTGCAAAATGAGGAGAACTTGGTAAAACAGATTAGAGATCAAAGTCAAATGCATATAAAAAGGTTGTATAATGCGTTGCTAGAAATAGATTCAGAAACGGAGTTAGTCAAGGACTGTATGATAAAGTGGGCACAAAATATTGAAGAACCAATAATGATGGAAACATGGGAAAAAATATGGGTTAGAAATGTGAAGTTCACGCAAGCCCAAATTTAAGAGAGAATTTTTATAAAATGTTTTATAGATGGCATCTGGATCCTAAAAAGCTAGCCTGTATGTATCCAAGTGTGCAACCTAAGTGTTGGAGATGTGAATGTGATGATGCCACGTATTATCATATATGGTGGACATGTAAAAAAATTAAGGCATTTTGGGTAAAAATATGGTGGATTATCCAAAATATTCTCAAAAAGAAGATAAAATTTACTCCACAGTTTTTTCTGTTAGGCATAATTACAGATTGTACTGTTATAGAGACTAAGTTGATTTTAAATTTAATAACAGCAGCCAGACTCTTGGTGGCACAGTACTGGAAGAAGGAAGACTTGCCTACTATTGAAGAATGGACATTAAAAGTAGTGAATTTAGCAGAGATGGCTAAAATTTCAGCATATTTGAAGGACCATTCAAATGAAAGATATATATTGTAATGGAGAAGATGGATTGACTATATTCAAAACAAATATCAGACTAAAAAGTTTCAAATAGCTTATGAATGAAATCTATATTTCCTTTTTGAATATGTTTAGTTAGTTGAAAGGGGAGTTAAAGAGCAAGGGGGAGTTTGGAGACCACAGAAAGTTAGCTTATTTTGGCTTATGTTTGTTATGCTATACCCTGTTTTTGTTCTGGGAAGTCCGGGGGATGTGTGTCGGGGGGGAGAGGGGTGGGAGGGAGAGGGGAGATGGGGGGGCGGGAGGGGGAAAAATTGTTGTTATGATTGTTAAAAAATTTTAAATAAAAAAAATGCCATATTTAAGTTTACCAAATGTAATTTTTGAACATGATTTATCTAATTCACACATATATCATATCGCACTGGTGAAATCCAATTTTTTTTATTACCGGTTCTGTGGGCGTGGCTTGGTGGACATGGTGTGGCTTGGTGAGCATGGCAGGGGAGGATACTGCAAAATCTCCATTCCCACCCCACTCCAGGGGAAGGATATTGCAAAACCTCCATTCCCATCCCACTCTGGGGCCAGCTAGAGGTGATATTTGCCGGTTCTCCGAACTACTCAAAATTTCCGCTACCTGTTCTCCGAACTGCTCAAAATTTCCGCTACCAGGTCTCCAGAACCTGTCAGAACCTGCTGGATTTCACTCCTGTCCTATCGGTGAGAACCAATTTGGTGTGGTGTTAAGGAACCAGGCTAGAAACCAAGAGACCATGAGTTCTAATCCTGCCTTAGGCACAAGGATTTAAATCACTCTCTCAGCCCTTGGAAAGAGGCAATGGTAAACCATTTCTGAAAAACCTTGTCAAAAAAACTTTAGGAAAGCATCCAGGCAATTTCCAAGAATAGGATAAAACTGAATGGAAGAATAAAAAATATACCATATATGCATACAAACAAACATTATAATTTTAAAAATATGTTCTATATGAACAATTTTCTTCAGGATACATTTTCAGTTTAGTTACCTTTAACCTATGTTCTTTTCTTCCCCACCATTTATTTATTTATTTGTCAAGAATGTATTAGGTAATTTATATAATTATAAGCATGAATTGAATATATAAAATAGATACAAGTAGAGGAAACATTAGGACAGGGACAGTAGGCACGCTGGTGCTATTATGCACGCCCCTTACAGACCTCTTAGGAATGGGGTGAGGTCAACAGTAAATAGTCTTAAGTCAAAATTTTGGGGGTTTTGGGATGAAACCACAGAATCAGGTAGTATATTCCAGGCATTGACCACTCTGTTGCTGAAGTCATATTTTCTGCAATCGAGTTTGGAGCAGTTCACTTTAAGTTGAAAAATGATATCTCAAAATGTAGAATGAGTTGAGTGAATACAATATTAAGGCTTATTGTCTATTGTCTGACAACTTATTCTCTTGTCATCCAGGTCATGGTTATCCCAAAAGTGCTTTTTCAAGACGCAATTGGACTTTCTGGTTTTTCTTTGAAGACATTTTGCTTCTATTCCAAGAAGCTTCTTTAGCTCTGGTTGAAATGTCTTCAAAGAAAAAACAGAGTCTAGTTGCATCTTGAAAAAGCACCTTTGGGATTAAGGTTTATTAACTCGTTGTTAAAAAAAAAAAGAGTCCAAATTCTAATGGAATTTATTAAGGTCAAGAAAAATTAACAGGTTAAAAGAGGCTGAAGAAATAAACAGTATTGTCAGTTGTTGCATCTAAATTTATATGAAAGTCTATTGGGCATATAATGGTTTGAGAAAACTTAATATGCCCTTTTGGTACACATTTAAACACCTTTAACAAGCAAAATGACAAAGTCAGGATAATTATACCACATTGCAAAGTAACTAGTAATGTAGGAAAAATATCATAAATATCAGTTAAATATTTAATTTTGCATTAAAACTATCTGGAAAACCTCTGCCTCTTCCCCTTCTGTCACTTTAGTTACTTGGCTTGGCAATATTGTTTGTGTTCTACTATCTAAATAAAAGTCACCAGAATATTGTTGTTGCAAAAGCGAGTTGTGCTGCTTTTCTACTTTTTTTTTTTTTAATTTGATTTATATGCTGCCCTTCTCCGGAGACTCAGGGCGGCTTACAATGCGTTAAGCAATAGCCTTCATACTTTTGTATATTTATACAAAGTCAGCTTATTGCCCCCACAAACTGGGTCCTCATTTAACCTACCTTAGAAAGGATGGATTTTTATATATATATATATATATATATATTCTTACTTCTTCGTAGGGTTTATGTGTGTTTTTCTTCTAGCCAGGTTTTCCCTACGTAGCCAAGGTTTTTTTGTAGCTCCAGCTCAGTAGAATCACATCTACTCGGTTCTGGGCTTTTTTCCTTTCTAACACCTAGCAAGCTCTAACTGCTAGGTGGGAGACCTAAATAGATCCATTTCTAGCTCGTTAGCTGTCATCAGTAGGCCACACCCATATCCTCCCTGTAAAGGCACAGTATCAATTTTCTTACTTCTTCGTAGGGTTTATGTGTGTTTTTCTTCTAGCCAGGTTTTCCCTACGTAGCCAAGGTTTTTTTGTAGCTGGAGCTGGAGCTGTACAAAAGCTGGAGCTGCATTGCTCCTAGAAGCACGAAGCCGAGAACACCAGCCTGAAGATGACGAATGAGACTTCGTCGAAACGTTGCCAAGAAACCTCCAATTTTACGCGGGAGAAAACCCGAATAACCAAAGACATATATTATATATATATATATATATATATATATATATATATAATATACTTATATGTGCCACAGAGATGTAATGAGAACCAATAAAAAAATAAAGTGACAGCCTGTGATTTTAAAAATTACCTATGGTACAATAAATAAAGTGTATTTCTTTTCCAATCATATAATGCTACTGATCCAAGTTTCAACTGAGCCACTAATGAAAGTGTGTTCTATTCTAAAAAATATACAAAGAAATATGAAAGAACTACCTGCTTCTAGAGGCCTCTTAACCAAACACATTCTTTTTTTAAAATTTGGTCCTCCAAACTGCCACCTGCCTTCCAGTCTCAAGCACAAAGAATTGTACCACCAGCCAATCAGTGTATGAACCTCATTTGTCATAGGAATGGACTTATATGTGCATATGATGTGTGGTCTCTCTTGAGTAGTGCCAGTTCAATCAAATGAACCACTGATGTCAGCCGATGCCAATATAAAAAGTAAACTTCTTAATATATCACTGGCCAGCCTTCTAAATTCTAATTTTAGATTGATAAAAGAAACTTTTATTCTTTTGCTGTCAGAATAACAATGATTTTTTTCTGACACTTTTAAGTTGATAAAGCCCTGTTATAAATATGTCCATGCACCTACTTAAATATAAAGATAGTCACTAGCAAGCAATTTCTTACATACTATATTACAAATGATATAAACATTCAATGGGTTCCCTTAAAGAATCCAATACTTTATATTGTTTTTTCTGTTTCTCAGAATAGCTTAAAACTTTCCATAGTATTTCATTATTGAAAAATCAATATTGGTTTGGTGTTCCACAGTTATTTGTCATCTACATAGCTTTAGATCAGGCCCATTCATTGTTTCCAATAGGATTTTGATACAGGTAGTCCTTCACTTGCAACAGTTCATTTAATGACTGTTACTACAGCACTGAAAAAAGTGACTTATGACTGTTTTTCACACAATCGTTGCAGCATCCCCATGGACATGTGATCAAAATTCAGATGCTTGACAACTGACTCATATTTATGCTGGTTATGACAATGTCCCAGGATCATGTGACCACCTTTTACAACTTTCTGAAAGTAAAGTCAAAGGGGAAGCCATATTCACTTAATAACCCTGTTACTAACTTAACAATTGCAATGATTCATTTAACAACTGTGGCAAGAAAAGTTGTAAAATGGGGCAAAATTCACTTAACAACTATCTCACTTAGCAACAGAAATTTTGGGCTCAATTGCAGTCATAAATCTAGGACTACCTATAAATGGTTGATCATAGAGTTAAGTACTGTATTTAGTCATTTTTTGAAAGATTAGGATGTTCCTCAGCAAGACTTTTGAGGGGACTGGGCAAATATTTTTATAGAGTGGTAGCCATTACTTCATAGAATGCTGTACCTCACTAAGGATTAATGCCAAGGTTTATAATTGTCTGTCTGGAAAAATATTGCATGTTGTCTGATTTTCCATCAATATCATTGACTACATGTTCACATATATTTTTACATATTAATTGGTAGCTTTCATTAACATAAAATGGTAACTTTTTTGCCAATTGATTACTTTATTGATCATATGATACTTGGTAGCTAAAGTGCTGTTTTGGCACTCAAAGAGATATCAGTATTTTATCAATGGTCTAGAAAGAAATTGAAATGGTTAATAAATCATGATAAATTTGGTGATTTTCTCCATGTATCCAAACTGTTTGTTGGACTTATATTATTAGTGAAAGAAGTCTGTCTTCTGCTGATGCTCTCAGTATCTTCTTTATTCAATCTTTTTCGACAACACAAGAAACTCTGCAAGAAGTCTTGTAGGAGGTGCCCACTGAAAAACATGTAGATCCATGGATTGCAACAACTGTTCAAGCAGGCCAAAAGGGCAGTCACTGTAATTGCTACATCCTCTGAATCTGTTGAGAAAAAGTAGAGCATTATTTAACAAAGACCTACAATTTAGTATGCTAATATTTCTTTAAAAGCAAAATCTAAGAAAAATCTGCATTAAATTTTGTAAGATTATAATTCTGCATTACATTTCCAAAGGTAAACAGATATTTATACTCCATTCAAAATACTCCTTCAGTAAAGTTGCTCTAATAACCACAATATATCCATGTTAGGCTTCTGGCTGCAATTTGTGGTATTAAGCTGGGATATTAGAGGAACTGCCTCTCTGAAGCTACTTGCCCCATCATTCTGGCAGGAAGGGCACATTCTGGGTCCTGCTGAATCAAAACAGTCATTTGGAAGGATCAGGCAGGGCTTCTTTGTTGCAGCATTTGGTCACCATTCCATCCAAAATCAGACTGGGGCCATCCCTGCTAGCCCTCTCTTTTCTCCTCCCAGGAAGACAGTTCTTATTCTGTTGCCTGCCCAGAGTTGCTTTCTTAGATGGGTGGCCATATAAATTCAATAAACAAAACAAATAAATAAAATGACTAAGCTACTGGACCATACTGAATGTGTTGTCCATCACAACAGATTCACACATTCTGTTTTTGTCTTACCTACCTTTTGTTCCTTTCACTATACTTTTATTTTATTTATGGTTTAGGAGCAGATTACTTTGATTTACAATTATAACTTGACTTGACAAAAGTTATAGAACTCTATCATTTATTATATCTAGCCACACTTGGAATACTGCATCCAGTTTTGGTCACCATGATATAAAAAAGATGTTAAAACTCTAGAAAGAGTGCAACAAAGATGATTAGGGGACTGGAGGCTAATACATATAAAAAACAGTTGCTGGAATTGGGTGTATCTAGTTTAATGAAAAGAAGGACTCGGGGTGACATGATAGCAGTGTTCCAATATCTCAGGGGTTGCCACAAAGCAGAGGGAGTCAAGCTATTCTCCAAAGCACCTGAAGGCAGGACAAGAAGCAATTGTTGGAAACTAATCAAGGAGAGAAGCAACTTAGAACTAAGGAGAAATTTCCTGACAGAACAATTAATCAGTGGAACAACTTGCCTCCAGAAGTTGTGAATGCTCCAACACTGAAAGTTTTTGAGAAGAGATTGGACAACCATTTGTCTGAAATGATAGAGTTTCCTGCCTGAGCAGAGTGTTGGACTTGAAGACCTCTAAGGTCCCTTCCAACTCCAATCCTATCCTATCCTATTCTTTGTGGCTTGTTCATAGATTTAGTACATTTTACATTTATAACACACACAGATCAAAAACAAATTTACAGAAAATATCAGGCCTACTATGAAGATGACCAAGGTGACTACCAAAAACAATATACTGCTGAGAAGAAAGCAGCCATAATTTCCATCTTCCATGCAACTCAGATGACCTCCAGGGAACTGTCCTATTGCTAATATTAAAGCTTCTGCTGTCAAGCTTGCCTAGAGGATAGGAACTTCCTCTAAGAATACAAGACTCAGTGCCAATTTTTTTTTAAATAAAAAAGATTCTCCATCGTTCAGTTAATAATGTGCAAGTCAGCTAACCATGGGCAAATTTGGGATGAACTAGCTAAAACAGACACAATATTGTATATCATCACAAATAACAAATGGCTATCCATAACCTTGAAATTAAAGAATCATTTGAATTTATTGTAGAACAGAATAATTCAGACTGTAAAATTGGTGTACCATTTAATATTGCTTACAGTAACAAAGTCAGTATTAGTATGTGGTCATTTAGAAAGCAAATATTCCTTGTGGCATCTTTTACTGTAAATTCAAGTGGAAATGCAAGATAGAGAAGTTGAGATCTTTTTTCAGAGCAGAAATTGTGAGAATGGCATTTATGCTTGAATTCCCCTTACTCTGGTAAACCAATGAGATGATAATGAACTTTCTAGTTTTGCTATTTATTGTGGGAGATTAAAACAAAACAATGAAGAGGAAAATGATCACACAGATACTGGATATTTTTTCATTAATTTTGTTTGAGAAAATATTTCATCTCATCAGTTTAAAGGACAGCACATATTTCTTATTAAATCTAAATTCGATATTATTAAATATTAAATGCAGCTGGCTGATTGTGATTAGTTGTTAAATTTTCAGCATTTTACAAATAGCCAGTTTTGGGCTATGTAGCCAAAAACAGACACCAGTGAATTCAAGAGTTTAGTCTCAATTAATTTGTACAGGGGTATCATACTATCATCCTATCTGGTAAAGTGTAGGCTTCTATTGAATGTATATTTCCAGGCAGAAAGATTTTTTTTATATACAGTGGCAGTTCTATGCATTGGTATATAACAATGAAAAATATCAATATATATTCCTGCTTTAAAATCTACACAAGTTACTGTGTTTTCCTCACACGTTATATAGGAAAGAAATATATAAAACAGAATTTTTTAATGTTTAAACGTTGGTGGTTTAAACTCAATGCAAATGAGTTTAAACTCAGTGCAAGTAAGTGGGGGGTTTGCTCCCTGTTTATATACAGTATTTTGCTCTGCCAGTGTTTGTCGGGTGTATTTTTCTCCTTGGTAATTCCTTGATTAGGGTATTGTTTTTTGCTGAACAGCCCACTCACTAGCACTGAAGGTGTTACTATCTGGGTAATGAAACACCCTCAAGCAAATAAACCCCATGCTCACTAGCAAATGTTACCTAGTTAGATAACTAAATGTCTGCAAACAAACAACCAAGCTCAGAGAGCATGAAAACTTGAAAACTTCAAATTTGAGCTACACATATTCTGTTCTTTTGGAACACTCTATTATAAAATCCTATGACACTGATATTTAAGCTTGTTGACCTGTGTAAGGTAATTTCCAATATCTTCCAAAAACCCTGAACAAGGTTACAGACATATGTACTGATGCACAGCATTTAAATTTTAGGCTGAAACCCTAGCACATTTATTCATAAAGACCACCTGAAATACATATGGAAATGTGCATAAAATTATATTATATATATATTAAAAAGAGTTAGCTAAATCCTATCCTGAATTTAATAGGGGGAAAAATAGTTTATGCAAAATCATAGTACAAGAGAATCCTGAAAGTTCTGACACTTTTAGTTTGATACTGGGTTTTAATTTGGTAATACTGGGTTCCTTGAACCAATCTATTTATTTCTAAGTGAACTGCAGTAAATGTAAGACTTGGAAGTTATGGTGCATTTAATTTTATGATGCATCCCCATTTAGTCAGGATTACAATTGAATGACCATTTAGATGAGATATTAAATGAGTCTCTTTAGATTTATTTTCAGAACACTTTTTCAAAGAAAGTCTCAAAATATATCATGTAAAAAGCTACATATTTACTAGGTCCTCTTGAAATGCAAACATGGTAAAACTGAATGCTGTTTCCAACACTGAAATAAATGAGAGTAATAAATGAGAGGCACCAAAAAATTACACACATTCAAGACAATAGCATTCTGCTTTAAAAAAAATTGTGTTAAGTGGAATGTAGGCTTGGAATCTTGTTGAGAAAGGGTCACCAACCAACAGATGATGCCATCTTCTACTCCCCCTGAGCCCTGGCAAACATATTTTGTTTGTTTTCTGGCTTAACCATTGCTTTCTGGTTTGCCTGATTCACTTTACTTTTCCTAGGCAGCTTGATTAGCTGTTGAGCAAAGAAACAGTAACTTCCCCTCAACTGAGTAAATGTTTGCTCCCCTGCTGATCTCTGATCTAGGCTGCTGTTGCATGGTATTCCACTCAGCATATCAGGGCAATAATATTTGCCTGATGTGCTGAAGATTAATGGCTCAAAATCTGGCTTTTAAAATTTACTATTTCTCTTTTTCTGAGACGCTCACTTTTCAGTTGAGCAGATTTTTTTTAAGAGAAGCCTACCAGTTAAATGCTAGAATATTTTTCTTTTCTTTTCTACCCGCTCCCAAATGAACCAGCTGAATAAATACTGCAAGGTGACTTTTTGCAGTAATATTCATCTGGGCTGAGGACTGGGATGAAATCCTTCTAGGATGAAATCCTTTGAGGAATGGGAAAAAAATCATGAAACAGTACATAGGTTAGCTGGTTCACAAAGGCAGTTGAATAGTAAGAGACATACCGGTATATAAACTTATATAACATATGTATAAATTTTCCTGCTATGTTTCAAATCAAGACATTCTTAATATCACACAAATATTGCTGAGGGAGTTATGTAACAATAGCTGCAACAAACATTGTACCAAACTGGGAAAGTGCAAAAAATATTTTTTTTCATTTTAAAGCTTCTTGTTCTGCTTATTTTTATGAACATTTTGATGCTTTAACTTTGTATATATGGATTTAATTTGTATATGGTTTTATATGAACCAGTACGCATATGCAAGTATATACGTTCACAGAAAAGAAAGCATCTGCAATTGCTTTCCTGGCCCAGAAAGTTGGAAGTGCAACAGAGTAGGATAATAGTTTAGGAGGGGAGAGAGACAGAGGGGGAGGAAGAATGGTGCCTGGCTGCTTCCAAAGTGTCCCAAATTGGGCAGAATTTTCTTAATTTGGATTAAAAGCCATCTGGCATCAGCACAGGTGAAGAACAGCTTAAAAGTGCAGTGCAGCTATGTTTTAAGCATCTTGCAAGGGCCCAAGCGAATGGCTTTTGTCTGGAGTCATATGCCAGGGAGCCAGATACTAGACAGGATCAGTAGCTGATCTGACCACAGTACCTACCCTGCCAGGAGGCGTGGTCGTCCCAGACGGAACGCATCTGCACCGAGAAGAAAGGGGCCCAACACACAATATAAGCCGAAATTATCACGAAGGTCATCTTGACGGTGCGGATCTTGGCGCGCGAGATACTTTTGACGCTGCTGACCTGAGGCGTGAAGAGCAGCCCCTTGCGCAGGGCGCCCTCGTGTGGCGGAGCCCACTCTCGCTTCTGCCGCCGCGTCTTGTCCCGGACGTTGCTCCAGATGTGGTAACAGATGAAGCCGTAGCAGGTGGCCAGGATGAGGACGGGCGCCACGAAAATACTGCCGGCCATCCAAGTGATGTAGGCGCGAGCCCCCCACGGCTTGATGAAGTGCGCCCAGCAGTCATAGACCTGCGAGCCGCTCTCCACCTCGCTGAGGGAGAAGATGAAGTACTGGGGGACGCTGAGCAAGAAACTGAGCGCCCAGGCGGCCGCGATCATGCAGCGCGAGCGCTTGCTCGGCTGCTGGAGCGTCTTGAGCGGGTGGCACACGGCGATGTACCGGTCGGCCGTCATCACCACCAACATGTACGCCGAGGCGAACATGCCGAAGACCTGCAGGTGTTTCACCACGCGGCAGAGCCCGTCGGGCCCATGGAAGCGGTGCGTGACTTCCCAGCAAAGTTGGGGCAAGATCTGGAAGAAAGCTACCGCCAGGTCGGCCAGGCTCAGATGCCGGATGAAAAGATGCATGCGGGATGCCTTTTTGCGCGGCGTGTGATGCAGCGCTAGCAGCACGAAAAAGTTGCCCAGCACAGCTAAGGCGAAGGTCAGAGCCAGGACGGCAATCTCCAGCTTGGCCAGGTCTTCGTCCCGCCCGTAGGGGTCTCTGCTTCCGTTGCCTTTGCTCCCTGACCACGCCGCGTCCACGCCGCCCTCGGAGCCGTCTACCTTCCCGAGCGAGTCACGGCTCCAATTCCACGCAGGCGTCGTCCAAGCTGAGCCGCCAGGACGGTTGCTGGACGGCATGGCGCCGCTTTGCTTTTCAGTTCTCTCGGTGCGCTTTCCCGCCTTTAATTTCTTCGCGGCTGGCGAAAATCGATGCGCCTCTCTTTCTTGCTGGGCTACAATGCTATTCTTGAACCAGGAAAAGGTAGGCGGAGGAATAGAAAATAATAGACCGAGCCTTCTACGCCTGGAATGAATCCGCGCAATTATCTCCACGCCTCGCTTCTTTTCCGTCCCCTGAATCCCACTTGCTCCCGGCTTCACTCCTGCGCCTAAACTGCGCCCGGGCGCTCTTCCGCTTTTCGCCTCTTTGATTCCGTTTTTCCTCCAAGCTCCCTTGGAATGCGATCTAACCCCTCCTCCTTCTCTCTCTAGTGGCGTCCTCCTCGGCCGAGTCTTTCCACATTAGAGCCCCCTCTCCGGTTCTCTCAAAGCTCTCCCCACTGTGCCGTCGGGAGTCTTCACCAAAAGCGATCTGCGTTTCCTGGTCGCTTAGTACTATGCCTGGACGCCTACATCTAAACCCACTGATCGGTGGGTTTGGTATACAAAGTGTGAACAGAGGAACACCGGGAGTTGTTCCACTGATAGTTCCTTGATCCATGCAGCTCATTATTGATGATACAGCCCAGTCAATACCGTCAACATGAAAACGCCTGTTTCAGTGCCCCTTTCTTTCTATTCGGAGATTCCACAGCCTGAGCCTGGAACTTTCTCCCAAAAAGATGACAAAAGGCAATGTGCTTATCAACTAGATCTCATAATTAATGTGCAAGTTAATACAACACTTAAGATACTTGCAACTAGGGATCATTGCAAGCAAATTTAGCATCTTAATTAACTAGGGATCATTGTAAGCAAATTTAGCATCAAAATTACCCCAAAAAGTAATTTTTAAAAATCCCTAGAGGTGACACCTGATCATGCTGGTCTCAGGGGGTGGGGTTGTGTTTCTTACAACATTGTCCTTTAGTCTAAAACAAATTATGAGATCCTAATTTCATTCTGACTTCTATAAATGATGTAGAGTGCAGTATAATCTTTTCATATCATAATGTAGAAAGTGAATGGCAACAAAAACAAAGTCTGCTCTCCAGTAACCATGATTTTTAGGACTCAAATCCATCTAAAAGCAAAGTAAATTTTCTTTTTAAAATCAGGCAGGTTGGATGGAGGGATCTTTCTGACATACAGAAATATGCAAGCAAACTGAAGAACAAGGGGGAAGAGTCGGTTGTGATCAAGGGTTGTGCTAATCTAAAGTCTCCCCTCAGTTGCAAAACCATCTGAACTAACTACCGGTAGCAGCATCACTGTCACTGAGTAACTCTTTCTTATACTAATTTCTTGACTAAACATATTGACTGCTTTTTTCATAAGGTGGAAAGCAATCTTACTGAATTTCTGCTTCACTTATTTTCCCATTAAAATGTCCACCCTTTCGCATAATGAAGATTCTAGGATTTTAACAATTTGTTGTATTTAGTAGGAAATATTTGCCTTGTGTGCGTTAACTGTTCAAAGAGCACAAATTAAGAGAGATACATTTTTATTCAATTTAAATAAATGTTTATTAGGGGACAATATTTAATTAAAAAGAAATTTCTTAAAATTGCCTTAAAAACTACAATGACAGAAAGAGATCTTAATCACATTTGCATGTTTACCCACCAAAATAATGTAAGATAATAACCATTTCATGCCCATAACCAATTAATATAAATATAGATTGACATATCCATCAAAGCAGCGGTGAAATCCATCCGGATCTATCTGGCTCGCGTGAACTGGTAGCACCAGCGGCGGGAGGCTCTGCCCACCTGCCAGGACATTATTACGTCCTGTTTTGACCCTCTGCGCATGTGCAGAAGAGGTGCGCGCGCTCACATTCCTGAACCAGAAGCGAAGGTAAGTGCATTTCACCACTGCATCAAAGCATTTACTTTGGGGCTTTCTGCTCAGTTAAAAATGACATCATTTGTTAGATACAAGATTATATAGCTGTGGAACTCTTAAATCAACTCTTCTGATTCTAAATTTGTAAGCCATACTTCTGCCAGCAAAAATTGACAGACTCATTAAAATGAAACCAAAGTAAAGAGTAATACAAGTAAAACCTTCAGAAAGAATAATAAAGAAGGAAAAATAAAGACAGAATTAAGAAACAGCCTATAGAAAGGCAATATACTATTTATCCAATCCACTGGATGAAATGAATTAACTTGATACAATGAAAGACAGAATTGCGGGGAGCCAGATAGCATAGAAATTTAATAAATTATTAAGAATTGTTAAGGTAGCATGAAAGAATATACCGTGTTTTCCTGAAAATAAGACCCTGTCTTATATTTTTTGAACCCCAAAATAAGCACTTGGCCTTATTTTCGGGGAGGCCTTATTATTTTGGGGCCCATGGAGCAAGATGGGGCTCTTCCAGTCTTACCTGATTTCCAGCTCTGCGTTTAAATATTTTTGGAGAGGGCTTATTTTTTGGGGGGGGGGGGACTTATTTAGTGCATGCGCTCAAAAGCCCGATTGGGCTTATTATCAGGGGATGTCTTATTTTTGGGGAAACAGGGTAGGCAATTCCAAATGGTAAGGTTGTTTTTTTTTTTTTTTTTTGTAAAATTAGGTGTTCAGATTGATATATTCCGTTGACAGTTGCAAAACAAAATGGCAGCTCAGAGCTGAAACTCCGAGGCTAGGAGGGAGATGTTTCGACATTTTCAAGAGTGTGGGGGTCAATTAACCATCCACAGACCTCCCTCCCAGCAAGCTGAGGTATTTTCGGCTCAATAGAGCTGTGGATGGAGCCCAAGGATAAAACCCGAGCCGAGCCCGAAGATCAGCTGTTTGTTGGTAAAAAGACTGAGGGCGGTGGGGAGGATGTCAACATCAAAGCCTGGCTGTCATGACCGGGTCAACCACTGAGTCTAATACAGCTGATGAAATGGTTGGCGAGACGGTGGCAACAGCGACTCCGGATAGGGTGTTGATAATGATGCCTGGGCTAATAGGCGCTGCATGTAGCAACACGGCGGCGATGATGTCTATGGCAAGGGGGGTTACCACAATGGCGAGGGGAATGGCGCTAATGGCAGCGACAGCGACGGCAACACCAGGAGGCTGCAAGGAAGCCCTCGTTGTTAATAGAGGAGAGGGCAATGCTGCAAAGGCTATAAATGTTAGGATCCCTTCAACCTCTAGGGATCTGTTGCACTCCTCTTTCTTGAAACTCTGAGGACTTATTAAACTAATTGAACTAAGTAGCCTGAGCAAGGTGATGGATAGGGACTGAGGATTACAATCTGGAGATGATGACTTACTCTCCCCCTCAACTGTCCCTCTCCTTTATCAGATCTAGATCTATTACGACCACTCAGCGTTAACTTGCAATCTTAGATCGATCTGCAGCTTTATTTACCACCTATTCCCCCAAGATTACCCTGATTATTTAACCCTAAATACTTTGTCCAGTGGCTCTGCCTTACTTTTTTGATCTAATCCTCGGCCATCGCTGGTATCAGGACTGGAGGAGATACAGACATCGAGAGTCTTGGATTATGGGGAGATAGACCACCTTCTCTTTGTTTGTTTCAAATGGTTTGGTCGCTGTGAGAGGACGACCCTTTGAGACCTCTACCCCCACCTCCTTTGGATGGATTTACTACAACCACAAGACTTCCCATCGTCGTGAGAGGGCGATGATGTTCTGATGTATTGACATTTGTAACATACTGATCTCCCTTTTACATCTATTTCCTCCCTTATTTTAAATTACCTGTCTTAACCATCTCTAACACTCTTAGAAGAAAATGATCCTTCATCTCCTTCAACTCGCTCCTATCTTTGATGTATTCAACTGCGGAGCTCCTTGCACTGCGAAATCCCCCCTCTCGCATGTCTGGCCCTCTCAGTTATCAAGGGCCGCCCTTGAGGACGGGTTTTGGAACCCTGAGAGGTGGTTTGCAAAAAACCGACAGCTTTGGGGTTTTTTAGATAAATCTTTAAGTTCTATTTTAAGGGGTTCTGGGAGGGATTGTGGGAATGGATCTGGGGGGATCCATAAATCCACTGAAAGGGGTAATGGGTCTGATAATCATGGTGGGGAGGATGGGGACAGAAATCTGACAAGGATGCAGGGGGATGAAGCGATGGGCATTAGTATAGTAAGTGGGAGGGGCAGATATGACGGCTGCAGGGGGCCATATTATGTTTCGGGAGTGCGCACTCGATGTTTACAAGCGATTGCCCACTCTGACCCCCAAAGCACTGCTCGTTTCCCGGGTTGTTCAGAGTCTCAGACCCTGGGTCTATGGCTGATGTTATGTAATGCCAGGTCAGTGGTAAATAAAGCCCCCCTCATTCATGATCTTATTTCAGAGGGGGGTGCTGACCTGGCAGGGATTACGGAGACCTGGTTAGGCTAGGAGGGAGGAGTTCCCCTTGTGGAAATGTGCCTGCCAGGTTTCCGTGCATTCCATCAGCCAAGGGCTCAGGAAAGGGGTGGGGGAGTGGCAGCAATCATTAGAGAAAGTCTTTGCCCGAGGGAGGCCACTGTTCCTCAGATAGCTGGATGTGAGTCCCTCCTTGTGAAGTGGGGTCAGGGGATTCAGATGGGCCTACTGATTGCCTACCTGGCTCCCTGCCACATAACAGCGGTCCTGCCTGAGCTGCTCGACATTATAGCCGGGGTGGCGGTGGAAACCCCCAGACTTATTGTTATGGGGGATTTTAACCTGCCATCTGCTGGTGAGATGTCGGAGACGGCTCGGGAGTTCATGGCTTCCATGACGGCCATGGACCTGACCCAGGTAGTTCAAGGCCCCACCCACTTGGGGAATCACACTCTGGACTTGATTTTTGTCTCTGATCATTGGCTGAATGATCTAAGAATAGGGGATATAGACATCAAGCCCTTGTCATGGTCTGATCATTCTCTCCTTCACATGGACTTTCAAGTCACTTCCACCCACCGCAGGGAGACGGAACCAACCAAATGGTTCCGTCCCAGGCGCCTGATGGACCCCGAAAGGTTCCTGATGGAGCTTGGGCCAGTTCCTGAGACTCTGGCTCACGACTCGACTGAGGACCTGGTGGTCGCCTGGGACAGGGCAGCTATTGGGGCCTTGGACCGCGTCGTGCTTTTGCGGCCTCTGACCCGATGCCGATCTCGTCTAGCTCCTTGGTTTTCCGAGGAGCTGAGAGAGATGAAGCGTCGGAAAAGACGCCTGGAGAGCGATTGGAGGACAAGCCGATCTGAATCT